TTGTGACCAGATTCAGCGTACCATAAATGATCATAAACAACAACACAATTTTTACAGCTGATAGGTTCAAAGAATATACGACGAAATCGAAATTCCAACTCGAACAATCCACACCATATTACCATAAGCAAATAGACAGGCTGAAGCAAGTAATAAAGTTTTGATCAGCATTCTCGAAAAAATGATAAAAGAAAAGCCTGGCATGTGGCATTTGAAGTTGAACGAGGCTTTATGGGCATATTGGACTTCACTTTGATCAGCAACAGGGACGATCCAGTATGCATTAACTTATGGACACGACGTGATGTTACCAGTCAAGTTAAGTATAAATTCATTACGAGTAATTAAGCAAAGTAGTTTATTCAGTGCCGAATATAATTAAGCCATGAGACAAGAGTTAGAAGACTTAGAGGAAGTTCGGCTTGATGCTTATAATTTATTGGTGGCACAGAAAAAGATTGTCAAGCGAGCTTATAATCAACGAGTCAGACAAAAAACATTCAACGAGGGAGAGTTAGACCTAGTTTGGGAGTGAGGTGCTTAAAAAAAAAGCACCTATGAAAAAAAGCTGTGAGGGTTTTAGGTGTTTGGTAAACTGAAAAAAAAGGGCTTATTTTGGAAGCTGCTGTGAGAATAAGCTGAAATCAAAGGAAAAAGCTGAAGCTACTATTTGCAGCTTTGGAAAACTGGCTTTTTTTCAAAGCACACAGAGTTACAGTGCTCCTTTAATGAAAGGACCCACTATCAGACTACTTTTTTTTCCAAAAGCTTTTTTACAAAAAAGTTTACCAAACGCTCTGCTGATTTATTTCACAGCCGCTTATTCTCACATCAGCTTTTTTTCAAAGCACAGCAATACCAAACCAGCCCTTAGTATGGCAAACCATGTTGCCCATAGGAATTAAAGACCCTAGATTCGAGAAATTGTCGCAGAATTGGGAAGGACTATTCATCGTACATAAAGTTCTCGGCAATGGGGCATACCACTTCAGAGATCGAACTAGTCTGATTCATAAACTAGCAATCAATGGGAAATTTAAAAAATATATATATTATCCAGTCATTTGGGAGATGCGAGAATAAAAGTTCATTTCATTAATTTTTGCAAAAATGATGTACAGGTAGAACCGATCGACCAATTTATAAAGACAAAGTTCTAAGAGGTCGAAGGAATGAAGGCTTCGAGGGCGGCTTTCAACTCTAACAACCTCACTTCGCCCATTGTGATTTCAGCTTGCCGAGTTCTCTTATCCATCTTCAGTTGCTCGATCTGTTTCGCGCTAGCCACGTATTCAGTCAAATGAAGTTTGCTTTACTCAAAATCCTTTGCGAGATTAGAGGCAATGGTCGATCTCTGACATTGGAGTACATCAATTTGACAGTTAAGGTTGGCAATTTATCAGTCAAGGTCAGCCAGTTGTTTGTTCTTCACTTTTATCACCTCGACCTCTGGACGAAGAGCTTCTTAAGCAACCAATGCAGCCTTAAAGTCATTTTCTGCTTGAAGAGCTCTTTAAAAAATATTAAAGAATCTCTTGCTCACCCTTTTTTTCTTTCTTTTTTATGCGTTTTTGGGGTGGGGCAACGTTTCCAGCCATTCCTGTCTCAGGGCAAAACCGTTTGCTCGGTGTGACTGGCACAGTAATAGCCACCATTGGAATAAGAGAGGTCATGGGAGATTGAACATTTGTTGCCTTCTTTGAATGAGCATGCTTTTTTTTAGCTGCAACTATCGCGACCGTGTCGGCCCACTTTATTGGACGACCCACTGTAAATAAACTCAAGTTAGGATGATAGTTTTGAGCGAGAAATAGAAAGAAATAAAAGACATATACCTTGGGCCGCTTCTTTGGATTTTGGGGCTGGAGCTTTCTTTGGGCGATCGCCAAAAATCTTTTTGACAATATCCTCGACCAATTCACCAAAGAATTCTTGGATATATGCATCCCACCAATCAGCAAAGGTGCTAGTGTTATGAGTTTCAGGGACGTTCGGCCGGAGGCGGTGTTTCGTGCACTGCTATTGGAAGTCTTGCTCGGCTTCTTTACACTCTCTCTATGATGAACCAGGGAGATGTTCTCGACTTAGATGAGATTGGGTGGTAAGTAAAGGCACACGATAGCCTTTGAGGTAGCCAAGTTACCAAGCGGTAAAGTGGGGGTGGTAGACTTCCCAACTCGTGCACTGAGCATCACAATCGAGAAAAAGGGTCGCGAGTTAGCACGAACGCCCCCCCAGTTTTGTTGAAGGTCAGCGTCTTCGGTCTCATCCCATGTCGAGGATTGAAGCTTGATGGAAGAAGGGTACTCTTAACGATGGTAGATCAAGAATTCATCATCAGCAAGATCTTCTAGGCCGAAGAAGTACTTGAAGACTTCTTCGGCCGAGTGAGGAAAAGCTGGTCTGGAGGCCAATTGGAGACCTAGCACTTCGGAGGACTTGAAGCTGGGGATTTCTGGCCTCAAGGTAACGAAGTAGACTTGTAGCCAGAGATGGAAAACCCAGAGTGGACCATTCTAGTGCGGGTCAATTTTGGCGACTGTCGAATAAGAAGGCTTCATGTTTTCGATCAAACTAAAAGCTAGGATGTGACCACTGGCCAAGGCTTCGGCCACTGGCATGTTTTCGATCAAACATTTATTTAACTTGGTACAAATAATAAATTTGTTATACCAGTAGAATAAGAAGGCTTCATGTTCCCCCTTCCGTAGGTCTTCTTCCCCTCGGCCAGCAAAGTGGTGGATGAGAGTATTATAGTTGAAGAAGTTCTTGTGCAGCTTCTGGACTTCTTCTTTGGGGGCTTCTTGGTCATTCTTCTTTAGGGCTTCGATGACACGTTCGTCGAATAATGATTTAAGGTCTAAGTCGAATTAATACCCAAGAAGGATGACATCAACTGGAAGACCAAATGAGAAGTGCCAAGGATGGCCGATATGTCAAGCACAGTCGAGCCAATAAGGCCAAGGGGAAGTACCATTATGTTGGTGGCCAAGCACCAGAAACTCAGAGCTACCGTGGGAAGCTCCCGGTCTATGGCAATCTCAATAGTAAAGAGTTTGATAACATCATAAATGCCAAGAGTTTTCCACTTTGTGCTGAAGAACTTCTCCATTCGTTCAACCTAAGTTGCCTAGGTTGCAGTGGTCGAGGGCCAAGCTCTTTGAGGCCTAGCCAAATCCCACTTTGACCAATCATATCCCTAGAGCAAGGGTTTCAAGCAGTGGGTCTTGAGCAATTTGGTAATGGTATTTGGGACAACGTCCTTGAAAAGCGGTCCCAAGATCTGGTGTGTAGCATCTGAGTCGCCTTCAAACCGTAGAATCTTGATGGTGTTTCGATCGATGAAGTCCTTGCACATAGCACACTTCTCAGAAAGCTTGGTAATAAAGATGTTGGAGGCCATTGTTGAAGATTCGAAAGATTTTCTGGGTTTAGGAAGTTTTCTGGGTTTTGAAATCTTTTGGGTTGTGAAAGCAAATGGTAAGAGGTTTAAAAGTTCTGAAAACGTAGAATATGAATAAAGAAGAGTCGGGTATTTATAGGCATTCTGGGAAGAAGATCAACCGTTTGGTTTTAAATGGGGGTAGAATTGATCGGAGAACTTGATAATCATGACGAATATTTAGAAAATCCAGGTGAAGGGACTGAAGATCTCATGGTTTGAGGATGCATGTTTGCGTATGACGACGGATTTAATGGTGAAGAGACGTTTCGATGGTTGCACGTTTCGAGGTGGACAAGTTGAGGAATTACCACGTGGTCAAGTATCTGACAAAATTAAGATCATGCAATCATGCTTCATAAATGCATTTGAGTGGGTGGAATATTTGAGACTTTTCGTTGTTTTTCAAAGATACTTCGGTATGATTTCGCTTCTTCAAGGTCGAGGCTCGGCCAGGAATTCTAGGTCGAAGACCTCAAAAGCGAGGGGGCATTGTTTGGGCCCAAAATAATATTATTGGTCTGAGCTCAGGTTTGTTCTCGGTCCAGTGCCTTTCCATAAGTACTATAGGCCATCCAGCTACCATAAGCCGCCTAATCAGGTTCGTCGAGTCGAATGGTAAGGAGAATTGATTTGGATATGGGCAAAGAAATCGAGTCCTGGTGTAACAAGGGGTTTCAGAGTTAAGGGCGCTGAGAACTCGGAAATGAATTTGATTCATTATAAAGCTTGGTTCAGAAACCGATTAAAACTAGGATTGGCCGAATCCTAATCAGATTAGATTTGGGAGTTTTAGTTTGGATACATCTTTGGTTAGGCTAGGGGTAGGTTCACTGCTATATATATAGGGGGAATGCATCATTAAAGCCTTTTCCAATTCAACACACAAACTGTCATGCGTAAACGCTTGCTCTACGTGAAACCTCTCAACAATCTTGAGATTTTTATTTTCTTTTTCACGTCGACACATCTTCAATTTGGATAAATAGCACTGTGAAGGAAACTGGCAACATCTTCAGTTTGGATAAACAACACTGGAGCCGTAGAGTCAGCCAATTAAGGAGCACATTTAATTTGGATAAACAGCATTGCTTCTAGCCCGACTAATTAGCTATCCAAGTCTCGGTCGGCAAGGATTTTCGAGTCCTTGTTGGTAACGGTCATCTCATTAGCCTTCTCGACGAAGTGAAATGTTACCAAGTTACTACATTCGGCACATTGAAAGCCGAATCTGATATTGAACTTTGCAAAACTAATAGCCTTATCTTCAAGCTCTAGAACCCAAAGGCCGAGACATGTTCCTTCCTCAACCATAGTCGTAAGATCAAGAAGTTATCAACGCGCTTAACGCAACATCAACACATTTTACTCCCTAGCCAAGCTCGGCCAACAAGTTGGCACGCCTTGTACACAATTGAAGCACATAGTTAGCTTATTAATTATTCGACCTGCGCGCCACGTAGGCTTGGTAGTTTTTAGGGTCAACAATTCCTTCAGCTATTTTATCCCCAACTCTCCTTCCCGATTTGCCCTACCCTTCACACCCCATAAGCGACATCTTCCTCAACAACCTCCAATCTGGTCAAGAGTCAGTCTTCAACAAAATTTGTTACGATCAATTGAAATGATGTGTAGAGTTTCGGTGTTTACACTAGCTCAGGTGTTCACAACACCTCCACCTTGTCTCTGTCTACCTCTTTTGGCAGTGTCGACCAAGCTTTTTTTAATTGGTGGATGACTTTTTTCAATTTATGACTAAGATGGGCGTGGCGTTCATGGCTGGATGATAAGGTCTTCCTTCATTTCATCTTTGCGATGTTGTTCAGTTGGGTTTTTGATGTCTGTTGGAAGGGTCGAATCGAGTTGATCGTGATGCCTTGTTGCGGCAGTGGTAGCAAACTTCTCGAATTTTCTTTTGTTTTGTCTCTGGTTTTGGGCTCTAGGTTAGGCCTTTTTTTGCTACCAAATGATAAAATCCCCTCCTCCATAATTGACCCTTTTGTCTGTAATCCAAACATGCTTCATGAATATCCATAAAAAAAAAAAAATCGGAATGGTGCTTAATTATTTCTTGTTTTGTATAATCGAAAACACAAGCCTAGCTAGATTAATAATAATACACCTACGATTAAGCATTTAGAAAATACAAGCTTAAATGAACTTCATACAAGTGTAACATAACGAATTTAAGCTTTTTTATTGTGTTTTCCCAATGGGGTTTTGTTTTGTGGCTGAGAGAATGCAGGAAAATGAAACAGAAACAGTATTTTTTTATCATTGAGTGTCTGAAAACAGAAAAGTTGGAAATTTTTTATGCAATTGAGCATTGTATTGAAAGAGCCAAAAATTTATATGCAATTGAAGAGTATGAATGTGTGAATGTGATTGAGGTTTTAGGAGAATTATATGTAAGATAGTGTTTGGTTTTGTGATTTCAGGTGACACAGTTGGGTGTGGATGCATTGCTGGTTATCTGTGGTTCCTGTGGATGTGGGGAAGCCAACTGTGAAATCAGATAAATCTACAGTTCGAGATGGGAGGTGTCGATGGGAAAATCCGGTCTATGAAACAGTTAAATTCGTCCGTGAGCCAAGAACCGGGAACATCAAGAGAGTGTCTACAACTTTGTTGTCTCAACTGTATGAATTGTTTTGTTAGATTTTGGGTAGTGAGCATTTGATTCCGCTTATGAGTATCTAATTTGGTTTTGTTCTCTTGTGTCGAATGCTAGTGTTCTTGGGGAGCTTTCTGTCGATTTTGCTGACCATGCCGAGGCTACTAATTCATCCTGTGTATCTTTTCCCCTCAAGAATTCAACAATTATGCATGTTAGTAATCTCCCACTTTGTCAAAACTATAGAATGTTAGACAACAATTTGATTGCTTTTTTCTTATCGAACTCTTGTTTATGGTTTCGAATAGGTTACCATTCAAAGGTTGCACGCAAATGTTGATCCGAGGTATATACAAATGTTGTAGTTATTTTCTTTTCTTTTTTATGGAGTTGTCTTTTTTTTATGTTTCTGCTTTTTTATTTTGTTTTGTTGGAGAAATTTTGAAAAGTTTTCTTTTTTCTTTTGTTTTTCAAATTTCATTTTTCTTTTAATGCAAAGATCTTGTTTCTATTGTTTTAAAAGTTTTCATGTCAATTCACAGGATGAGGGCATTAATCGAACCACCCAATTTGCTGTGCTCAACCACAGAGCATCATTTGGATCTGACTTTACGTTGTCAGGTTCTGACAATGTGTTTGGACTTGAATCTCTGCAAGAACTTGGATCAAGAGATCCTTCCAACTTTCTGTCGTCTTTGAATCACACCTCAGTACAGAGGTACAAGAGGAATTGAGTTTTGAGAAGGACCTGAGTTTCAATATCCGTTTACAGCTCCAGAAGACTCAAGAATCAAATTCTGATTTAATTCTTGCTGTGCGAGACCTGGAGGAAATTTTGGGGCACAAAAATAATGAAATAGCCAATCTTTCCAACAGGCCAGAGTCCTGCGGGGATGCTGCAGGGTTGAAGGCAACCATCTCGAAAGGTGGGACAAGTGAGGATGAGGAGCAATTGGAGCTGATCTTGTTAAGAAGCACAGCAATGCCAAGGAAACACACCTGCTCAAGAAACAGATCGCTGAACTCTATGGTGAAATGGAAATCTTTAGGAGAGAGTCGAGAGACTAAGATGAGCTCAAGATGCAAATGGAGCAGCTTGCACTTGACTGTGAGATATTGAAATAGGAAAACCATGACATCTCATATAAACAAGATCAAAGCTCATCTCCCTCTGCTGGCGTAAATGAACTCGAATGCCAAGTTGAGGATTTGAAAACAGAACTGGAGCTGCTTTGGAAACCTCAACTGCTTCATTTTTCGTGAAGGAAAATGATCTTCAGAACTAATCAAAGGATTAGAGAGCAGGGTCGTACCCAGTGCATAAGGCTCCCGCTTTACACAAGGTCTAAGAAAGGTGAATGTCGGCTAGCCTTACCCCCATTTATGGAGAGGCTGCTCCCAAGTCTCGAACCCGAGACCTACCGCTCATGGGCGAAGACACTTGCCATCGCACCAAGTGCGACCGAAGGATTAGAGAGCAGGGTGGAANGCTCTTC